CTCCCATCAGGAGCAGAGGGAGGGGGAGAAGTGCTGAAGGGCGATTGGGGCCAGTGACTGCCACTCACACCTGCTGATGGCGCTGAGCAATTGGGGCTAGCACCTGGCACCGGTAGTGGGTGCCAGAGGTAGCTTTGTCGTCAACAGCAGGTGCAAGTGCCTGGCAGGACCTTGGTGTGCTGGAGCAAAGAATTTTCAGTAACCACCAGAGGCTCACCTTGATGATGGTGACCGGCGCCTCGCATTGATCTGGTGCTCCCCCCACCCCCCTCCCGCCCACCTGCTCCACCAGTACACCATGGCCGACCCGGCATGTTCCGCGCACACCCCCTGGTGGTCAGCGCATGTCATCACCACCAGTTGTTTAGTTGTTAGATTGTTCTGGTTATTCCGCCATTCTGTCTATTTAAATATTAGCCTTTCATTATATAGGATGATTAAAACTTCTTTAAGAAAAGCACCACTAACTAGTGACCTATAATTCAGAGTAAAGTCTCTGGAGCCAGACTTTCTACATTTGAAAGCCATTCCAACATCTATTTATTAGCTCTGTGACCTTAAGCACATCACTCAATCTCTCTGTGCCTCAGTTACCTTGTCTGTAAAATGGGAATAATAATAATAAAACCCATGTTTGTGAAAAAAAATAATGTGTCCCGATGAAATGTGCTCACTGCTTCCATGTGAGTAATTCATAAGGATGGCAGGGCAGGAGCGCAGGTGAAGGGCACTTTGACCCACTGAGCACCTGCGACTGTGAGGATGCACAGGCTCCTGCTGAAATGCACAGTCACACATGCTCCCTGGGCTCCTGTAGGGAGGGTGTGGGGGACTCACAGGGACAAGCTCAGGGCTGGGGAATGCAGGTCAGTTCACAATGTAACAGCCCCCAGTCACACACTTCCTGTGTGGGAAGGAGAGTTGAGGAGCTTTGTCACTCTGGCTGCAGGGCTGTTTAGACACTTGGCATATGAAGCCTCTGAAATCACTCATTTTACAGATTAGCTTCCTGATGTCCAGGCTTCCCAAGACTGTGGTCCCCCTGCCCTTCACTGGTCTTTTCAGGCCCAACTCCCCCAGGATTACAGAGGAGACCCTGTCCTCCGCCTCCTCTCACAGGGAGCTCGCTCTCTGGCATCAAGGTCCCAGGGTGAGTTTCCCTCTAGAAGAGTCCAGGGCAGAGGTGAGGGTGGGAGGCAGAGAGCATTCCAGGGAGAGGGGTTCCAGGAGGAGAAGGGGAGGAAAGGGCTGGTCCCAGCCTGGGGAGTCTCCCTGGTTCTCACACAGCCCCTGGGCAGGACTGAGGGAGACGGTGTGACAGAGCTCTCCGTGCAGGGGGAGGGGTCAGGGCAAGGTCCTAGGTCCCAGGCCTGGTCTCAGGGTCCCAGCTCCAGGGCGGAGACTGAAGCCGGAAACTCAGTGTTGGGGAGTCCCCACCTCCCTGCAGTTTCACTTCTCCCTCTCACAGCCTGTGTGGGGCCCTCCTTCCTGGATACTCGTGACGGGGCCCCAGTTCTCACTCCTCATTGGGTGTCAGGTGCTACAGAAGCCAATCAGGGTCACCTTTGTCCCCAGTTAGAAGTCTCTGCGGACTCACCAGGACTCAGACTTCCCCAGACCAGGAGGATGCTGTTCACGGGGTCCCCAACC